GGTTCAGTGGGGGGCTTCAAAATATCCTTCCAACATTACTAGGGAGTTATTGGAGAGGTGTAAGGTAGTTTTTAGGTCCTTGATAGCATAGAGCTGACTGTACCCGAGCCCCATGAGAGGGCATGTTATCCGAGGTCGGGGTGCGTGGTAGTGAGTGAGAACCTACTCAAGGCTGGGTTAAGACTTCTATTCCTCCCATTTTTTTGGTTAGTGCTCCGGTCCTACGGGTTGGCTGCAACTTAGCTCAACCCGAACTCGTGGTCCCATATGGTGAGCACGTGGATGCTGTGGCGTCGGGCCAGCATCGGGGTAGACATGTCGTTCAGTGCATTCCATTCCCTTTTCCAGTCGAAGTGTGTAGAGGGTGAGGAGAGTAAGAGTTGGTAGTACTGGGCACCTTGGGGGTCCCACACCCCCTTCATAACCGGGCTGCCCACTTCGGTTAAGGGTTAGAGAAGCTCCTGGTTTTAGGTAGCCGGGAGGTGGGATATTATGGAGGGCGACCCCATGGCGCCTCTAACCATTCCCACTTCGTACTCAACTAACAGTAAGTTCTTTTCCGAATCTAATTTCAATTGTTCATCTTTGCTCATGGTCTTAATATATCTTCTTTACAGGCTCTCTTCCGACATGTGAGATATTCGAGGAGGAGTGGGATATAATAAGTCAGTTGTATCAGACACCTCCGTCGGAGAGGAGCTTTAAAAAGATTATCGACAAGAACACCCACTTCGTCTCCCACGGAGTAATGTCGAGCCAAGGTAAAAATCCCACTTCAGCTCTTCTCGTTTTGTTCTTATATGAAAGTACTTAGCCATTCGTGCTGTTTGTATGGGACTTTATGAAGAAGAAGCTACCAAGGCCTAACTTTGCGACAATTCGCCGAAGCGTGTCAGAGGCGAAAATTCTGAAAACGAGCTCGGTTGCTTTTAAGAAGTAGTCGGAGCGACTGTTATCCCTCAACAAAGCTGGGTAGCAGCCTGCTGAGGAGAACAAGGCAGAGGAAGGGGCCTCCCTCGTTCCTAGGAAGAAGAGAGCCGGGCCAACCGGGGCTTCTACTTCAGCTCGATCCGACGCAATTCCTCCTCCTCCTCCTCCTCCACCCAATACATGGGTGACCGTTGCGGCTCCTTAGCCCACTGCTCAGGCCATTGTACATTAATAACTGGTTACTTTGCCGAGGGCCCTACCAAAAAGAAACTGAAGAGGCCTGCAGCCGCTCTGCCCGAGGCAAGGCCACTGATTTTTTGGGGAGCAAAGAAGAGGACCTCCCTGAGGCAGTTTTGGAAATGCTGCCTCCAGAAACGGCCTCTGCAGCCTAGACCCATGACAAGTATTGGACCGAGGATTGGCAAAATCATGCCACCTCGTGTGAAGTGGAGGATCTGTTGGCTACGAATAATGCCTGCGTCGCCAGAGCCCTAAATATGGGCGCTGCGGCGAAGGACCTGGTCAGAGGCCTCCGCAAATGAAACGATGAGTTGGAGGAGAAGTTGAAAGCCTCAGAAACTTGGGAGGCCGAGGTGGTGAAGGCGAAGAAGGAGGTAGAGGAGAAATGGATAACAACTTCTTCAAAGTTGGACGCGGCCTAGTTCCAAGTCAACTGGATGAGAAACGAGCTTCATGACTCCGTCTCACAAGTGGCGGCTCTGACCAAAAGGATCGATGACACCAATGAACATCAGCGAATGGCCTCGAAGGCCCTGGCAGAGGCGAATAAAGAGAAGGACGAGTTGAAGATGCTCACTGAAGCCCAAACTGAAAAGATAAGCTCCTTGGAGGCTGAGGTGAAGACAGTTGGTGAAGTGGCGGTCCAGAATTACAAGGACAATTTTGACAAGAAGCCGGAGTATGATGACTTTGCCAACTACTGGGCCTTCTAGGCTGGCCAGGAGATGATTTCTCGCCTGTGTGAGAGACACCCTGACTTGGGCATCGAGTTTCTCGAAGAGGAGTTCGGTGGACCTACCGGGGGTCGCCCAATAGCTGAGGAGGAGGCTCCGCGGAGGAGGAGGAAGCTCCCGAAGAGGAGGAAGGAGCTGGGGTAATAATCGATGAAGATTAGGCTCTGTAATTTTTCCTTTTCTTATGTAACGGCTTCGGCCTTTTTCTCCTTGATAATGATTTATTTTCTTTAATTGCCAAGTATCGTTATCAAAGACAACTGGTTATTCACTCTCACGGCTGCAAAATC